TTCTGTATTTATCTTAAGCAACTAAAAACTTTCTCATCATGCGGCTTAGGAGGGGGACTATAGATGATCTATCTATGCTGTAGCCTAAGGTTATGGCCCTTATAGCATGAACCTAAAGCATGTGCAAAACTTTGTTACAATGTCAAGACTTCAGAAAAGAGATTCCTGTAACCATGACCCTCCACCCCTCTATCACATTACACTGAAGGGAGTGTTTGTAAGGAAAACTAGGATATCAAAGGCAGCACCACATTCTAGCTGATTCTCGGATTATCTATTCATAAGATGACTTCTGTAGCTCGATATGCCTGGGTTTACTTATGAATTGGTAGTGGATGAGTGTAAATAAGTCTGTATGTATATATAGGTCCTCCTGGAAAGAGACAGCAGACATCCTGACAGTTTTCAGTGGATATTTTTTTTTTTTTTTTTTTTTTTACATCTAGAGTGAGATTTATTATAGGGATTATAAGACTCAAGTAGCTATGGATAGTGAGAAGCACCACTTTTTGCCATTGTTAGGCTGGAGATCCAAGGTAGTATAGTTTGAAGGCCTGAGAACCAAACAGCTGATGGTATAGAGCCAGCCGTGGGTCTGGAAGTCTACCTTCTAGCAACCTAGAGCAGAGAAGATGGCCATCACAGCCTCATTGCCAGGTACAGAGACAGTCCACATTTTCTCACTTTTCAGGTTCTATTTGGACCTTCAGTGAATTGGATGGTGATGATATCCACTGGGGAAGGAGTACTATGTAGTTTACGCAATACATAGTTTCTTTTTTTTATTTTTTTTTATTTTTTTTTTAATTTTTCAACAAATTTCACTGGATATTTGTATAACTGCTTATCAAGTACATGAAACTAATTTAGAAACCTAGCCACTGAGTCTTGAGTCCAGTAAAAGATGAAATAATCATTGACTCTTTTAATGTAAGAAGATTGAACTATACAATGTTGATTATTGCTTGTAGTTACAAAATTGGTGAATTTGTGTTTTATTATTTCTTTTAGTCGAAACCAGTAACAAATGGCTTTAGGAGTTTCAAATGAACCAGGAAAAGAGCCATTATTACACCTGGCACTACCAATTCCCGGGCCATATTTGAAAGCAACACTCTATTTCTTCCTAATTTATTTATATTTAAGTAAATGAGACACAGATAATTTGAAAGGAGGAAAAGCAGAACAGGAATACATGAACTGATAGACAGTTGGTCTCTGTATTTTTTTCTTATTTAGATTTTACTGATTAATTTCTTTAAGATAGTTACAGTGTGGTGTTTACTAACTAGTGTTTTATTATTATTATTATTATTATTATTATTATTGTTGTATTTAGTACAGGGTATACAGGGTCTCTCTACACAGATTGGATCCATAGTGATCCTTCTATTTTCAGCCTCCCAAGCGCTGGGATTACAGGCGCGCGCCACCATGCCCAGTCTAGTGTTTAATTATTGACATCCATATCTCAACAGTGCTTAGGCAAAGAGCTCTGACCACTTCATCAGAGGGAGAGGTTTCATTTCTAGCCTTCTTTTATTAGCCATGTGACTTTTTAAATTAAATGGAAGACTCAGCACTGAGTTTCCTGCTCCTTAAACACAAATTACTTTTCTCCGTGGTGCTTTTCCTTCAATTATTCATTCAGCAAGCATTTACTAGGAGCCTGCTCTCCTCCTGACATTGTAGAAGATCCACCGATCAGCAAGCATCCACCCAAGGGCCTCCGTGTATGTGCAGATGGATGGTCCCAATGGTCTTCTGTGATCTCCGATGAGCACTTTCTTGCCAGAGCCTAACTTTGCTCTATGGACACCCAAGTTGGGGGCAAAGGCAGTCTATTGAATTTAGAAAGAAATAGAACATCTATTCTGATTCTGATTTACTTCTTGTCGTTTTTCTAAAATAACTTTATTTTGATAGTTTCACACTTACAGAAAAGTTACAAAAGTAGAATAAAGAAATCCCAAATATCCTTTACTGGATTTATCAGTTATTGAATATTTCTCTGCTTTATCCTCCCTCAATGATACTGTCTTTTTTCTCAGTCATATGTATATATAATTATGTTTATATTTATGTTTATAAATATACATATATGTATAAGTGCATATAAATGTATGTCCATATATGTATATATAAACATTTACACATGCATAAAATATACCATCATGTTGCATCGCCCTAAATACTTCAGTGAGTATTATCTAAAAACAAGAATGTGCTCCTATTTAGCTATTGTATAATAATTAAAATCAGGAAAGAGAAGATGCTGTACTTCGTAGCTAACCCATAGTTCATGTTCAAATTGTATCAGTTCCCCTGTAACATCACATTCCAGTCTAGGAATTCACATTGCATTGAGCCATTTTTCTTTGGTTCCTTGAGCATGAACTATTTCATGCCATTTTTCAATATATAGGCTATCAATTTTGTAGTGCTTCCTTCAAGTGGATTCGGTCTAGTATTCCTTATGATTAGATCTGGGTTATGTGCTTTGGACAAAAATGTCACAGAAATGATGTGGACATATCATCCACATGCATATAATATCTGTTTATCTCTGTAGTAGTGATCTCAGCTTTAGTCATTTGGCTAAGGCAGCAGTCCTGCAGGTTTCTGCATACATTTACCCTTGGCAATTAATGAGTAATTCGTGAATATACACTTTAAAAATGTGTTAATATTTTTCCCCCAGCAGATTTTCACCCATCAGTTTTAGCACCTAATCTTCTCATGTTACACATCTGTATGTGGGCATGCTTTATAATATACATCATGGATTAGCAACATATATAATTTATATCTTATGAATAAATACACATATATTGGAATCATGCAGGTTGGTGTTCAGAATTTTTTTTAACTAATAGTTTTATTCACTCAAAAATGTTTGGAGGGCTGGTGAGATGGCTCAGTGGTCTAAAGCACCTACTTGGAACAAGCTTAGCAAACCACAGGGACCACGGTTCAATCCCCCAGCACCACATGCCAGCCCGCCCCGCCCCCTGGTGGGCTGAGCTGGCCACACACACACACACACACATAATAAATAAATAAATGTAAAAAAAATTAAAAAAAAATAAAAATGAAAAATGTTTGGAGACCTTATTGGGTGGGATGATCAGATTATTTTCTAGTTCTGAATTATTGGAACATTTGGGTTTGGGTTTGTAATCAGGAAACTACTACTCCAGGTGGCCTTGGGCTTATTTCCAACATAAACTTGAATATTGTTGCTTGTCAGAAATTTATTTTTTCCTTTTTTCTTTTCTTCATATTTCGTAATATCAGGTCAATATCTGGTTAGTCTAAAAAAGGAAGAGAGGCCTTTTAAAATGTGGCCAATGAAAGTGATGGTCAAATGTCCTGAAGACAATGTTTGTACCTGTTGCACACTAGAGCCAGATCTTTCTTACCTTCTTGATTTCTTGTGCTTTTCAGGTTGTTGTTACCATACACAGGAGTTTAACCCAGTCTCTGAGACCACAGTCAGAACCTCCAATCCCACAGTAAACAGTCGTGGAGGCGTAGACGGGCATCACTGTGCCTGAAGCACTCGTCATGTGGACTTAAGTTCCATGCACTGTCACATCCACATTATTACTTATTCAATATTTTTCTTTAGATCCGATTTATATAGAGAGTTTCACCAAAAGTTATTACCCTCTTACGGCGTGAGATCTTTGAAGTCACAGATTTGAGGCATTGATGTATATTACAAAAATATATATTAACTTAAATAAATTCAAATCTTAAGTGACACTTCACCTTGGTGCTACCTATGACTATGTGACATAAACATCAGCAATGCAAAGCCTTTCCCTTTGGGAATCCAGTACTGAAAACTGTATCAGAACATTCACCAATTGTTCTTTGCCTCACAGAGGAGGAAGAAATGTGAGGCAAAGAATTCAATTAGATTCACGCTAGATTACAATTAGCTGACCCACAAAAGGGGGAATCTGTCTGGATTTTCAGTTGCATTCTGTTTAAACATGAATCACAATATTCCTTATTAGTTGCATTTATATCAATGAATCATTTAAAACACTTACTGAAAACTGTGCTTTTCTCGGGCATTGGCACCACAGCTGCTCTTTGGCCTGCCTCCTCAGTTCCAGTGACAGGCCATCACAAAGGCAGATACTGCTTTGCTAATGAGGACCACGGCACAGTGGCCCTCCGTATCCACATTGCCTCCTCCATGGACCCAGCCAACCTCCATCACATGCAGTGTAGTCAGGGTGTGTGGTTTTTCATTATTTTCTAAATGATACAGTATAGCAAACCTAACCCATAACTTGTGTTGCACATTACAAGTAATCTAGAGATGATTTAATAGAGGTGGGAGGACATGTGTATGTTATATGCAAATACTGTGCTATTTTATATAAGAGACTTGAGCATCAGCAGGTTTTGAAATCCATGGTGGTGGAGGTGGAGTCCTAGATCCATTTCTCCAGGGATACATAGGAATAACAATATCTAAGGACTAGAGCAAGGATATGGAAAATATTATGGGCAAGAAAGGAGTTAGGATTTTCTTACTCAGTTTGAAGAAGCCCAACAAGGATTTGTTTAACTCAGATGTAGGAAATGGATTTGGAGGACACAGATTTGGTAAAATAAACACAGCTCACCCTACAAGACAATAGACAGTAGCTTTACACAAAATCATAGATTATTTTTTCATTTTCCCTTAAATTACAATTGCAACTATTTGTTGTATATTTGGAAAGTTTGCTTTAAGGACTAATGGGGATTTTTACATATACTTAATATTGTGCTTGTGTCTAGTAGAGGTGCTAGAATTAAAGAAAGAAGTATAAAACTTGTGATGTTGGAAAAACCAGGAGTTATGCCACTGAAGGTAAATAGTGAGGGGCAAACATTTAAGAAGAGCAGAGTGAAACAAATGTGCTTCCAAATGAAATCATTTGACTTGCTCACACTGAACTCTATCCTTATTCCTGTCCTGTCCCCTAAATCTTCAGAAAGGAGCTCATTGCCAAGCTGGACCAGGCAGAAAAGGAGAAAGTGGATGCTGCCCAGCTGGTTCAGGAATTCGAGGCTCTGACAGAGGAGAATCGGACCCTGAAGTTGGCCCAGTCACAATGTGTGGAGCAACTGGAAAAACTTAGAATACAGTATCAGAAGAGGCAGGGGTCATCCTAACTTGAAATTATTAAATATGAGCATAAGAGGTTGGTGACTGCTGTGCTGTGCACTGGCCAAAAGTCTTTTATTGTGAAGGGATAGCAAACCAAATCCATTGCTTCTCTTTATTACCCACATGGCAAATGTCTAGAATGAGAGTTTAATGCTTTTCAGCTTTTAGCTTGAGAGAGGGGATATTTTATATTAAGTGATCTCATTAGTGCAAAGCTATTACCAGTATATATTTTCAGAGATCAGAATTCTTTTTCAAAGATATATGTATATATCTATATCTATATCTATCTATCTATCTATCTATCTATCTATATCTATCTATCTATCTATCTATATACATATATATATTCTTATTTAGGAGGATGTGATCATATTGTACATCAGGATGGGAAATAATAAAAATAGAATATTGACTGACCCTGCTAGAAATCATAAGCCATGAAACAAACCAGTAAAATGCTCATTGTCGTTCCACGTCTGTGCATTTTTAAATTTCATGCTTTTAATATTTCAGATCTGCTCAAATATCAATCCTTCGAAATGGCTCCACGTATATTTATGTTCACCAATCAGATGCAATCCCTCACGGATAGGTTTCCTCAGAATAAATGGTCACGTGCATATCCATAAAGGTTTTCTCCTGAAAATATTAGCAGAAATCAGGTCTGCGCCAAAAGCTCATCTGCCTGTGCTGACTTGCTGTTGGGATAAAGAAACAGAAAAGGCTTCATTTTCTCCATCTGCATTCACTCCCTGGCAATGTCTCTGCCTTTACTTGCATGTGTTCTGGAGGGTTTGGGGGCAATGGAAAAGTGTGGACCTTGCTTTGGTCAGTTCCCATGAAAATATTAATGAAGTTACAACTACTGCTTTTCTTTGGACTTAAAGAGGTATTTTAGGTCTGTAATGACTGATAGGAATATAAATTTCAAATTAAAATACTTTTTCTTTTATTCTAGCAGTTACATTTTCTCAAATTGATCTTTGTTTTATGTCCATTTCTATTCATGTAACTTTTTTTTCATTAAACATTGATTAAGAACTGCTGAGTTGTATTTTTCCCCTTTCTTAACCCCATTTATGTTGAAAGCTAGATTGCTCAACCTGGTTAGAATGGATGTTCTGTTGTCTGTGCTTAAAAAACCCCAACAAAAACATAGGAGTCATTTTCCTTTGAAAGGCTGTGGTTTCCCATATGAAAAACTCAGAGCTCTAATACTGATTATGATTCATTTATGCCTTGAGATATTTTTTCATGGAACATAAAGAACAGATCCTAAAAATAATAAGATGGCCTTGGATAGGTGAGTGATTCTCACCCGGGAGTGATTTTACCCCAGAGATATTTGGCAGTGGGTGAGAGGTACTACTGGCTACTGGGGGTGGAGACTAGGGGTGCTGCTAAATGTCCTGTGGAGCACAGGGAGGTCTCCCCACAAAGTACTTTCTGGACCAACATGTCATTGGCTCTGAGAATGCTGTCCCTGGGGAAGACTGGGCAGTCTGGGCAATGCCCCATGGAAGCACATTCCAGGGCCAGAGGTTCTTGCTATGCAGTGCAGACTCTAAGAGGCTTTTTACTACCTAAATCCTCAGCTGCCTCATTTGTAAAATGAAGCTTTTCTACAGATCCCAAAGATGCAATGTTAGGCTATTCACCCTTATGTTGCTTTCCTACTTGGCCAAAGGTGAAAGTATCTGTGATACCGGAAAAACTTTCCTTTTCAGTAACTCCAAGGCTTGCAAATACTAATACCCCCTACTATTATGGACTACTGGATGATATTGGATTATTTTTTTGAATTCACACACCTACAATATTTAAATGGCAATGGAATACCCTTCTCTGACAAAACTAAACAGAAAAAGGGGATACAAATGTAGGACCACTTTGTATATTCAAAATACTTAAGATAGATATACAGCTACTTTCACTTAATTCAATGAGAAGAAAGATTTGTAGTAATAGTGTTTGGACAGGATATCATGTCTGCATCTTGTACTATGAATAACCACTAAGAAGGCAACAATATGCAATGTATTAATTATTGAAACTATCCTATTAATTGATTTTGAAATTGTCCCATTGCTATTTGTTTCTCAATAAAATTAATAAAAAATCAAAAATTTTGTATCTGTATATACAAAATAGTTAGAATAGATATAAAACTACTTTCTCTTAATTCAATAAGAAGAAAGATCTGTACTAATAGTGTTTGGATAAGATATCATGTTTGCGTCTTGTGCTATGAATGACTACTACAAAGAGAACAATATATAATGTATTAATTTTTGTAACTCTCCTACTAACCTGTTTTGAAGCTGTCACATTACAATTTTTTTCCTCAATCAAATTAATTAAAAAAAATCACAAAATTAAAAAAAGTAAAAAAACCCTAATATAAAGGAAATGTGTTATAAGTTTATACAAATCCAGATCAGTGGGACGGGAGAAAGTAATTTATGTACTAAGATTAACTAGGTACAAATATCCATTTTTGGTCAGTGCTTATCCCCAAAGGGTTGTGTCTATTTAAAGAACTCAAGCAATAACAGCTCTTTCAGAAAGACAGGGGTAGGGAAATATAGTACCAAGATCTCTTTGCTCTGCCAGAGTGAAAGAAAGCCATGTAATGGGGTGAAAATATTTGAATACCGCTGGTCTTGCACCAGGCAGTCACTGAGCAAATAGTCTTCATATCTTTACTAGTCTCAGCCTGAAACTTACTATGCATTTCCAAAAGGTATGCATAGCATTTCCCTGAATAGAAATGTTTTCGGCAGATTTTTGTTCATCAATACACGGGACCAACATCTAATTTATCACAAGTCAGAGAATGCTCAAGGCAGAATTTCTTATCAGTCTTAATTTTCTTCCATTTGGCCAGTTTCCACTGATCTTATTTATCACTGGGTGTTATTTATGTAACGCAGATCATTTAAAACTTTTCTATCTTTAGGATTGAAGGTGTAGGTCAGTGTTAGAGCTTTAGCCTAGCAGCACAGCACTTTGGGTTTGATCTCAGAAACACACATAACACACACACATACACACACACACACGAAAAGAAAAACGGATAAACAAATTTCTATCTTCAAACATATTTATAGTATTCTTATTATTAGCAATAAGGATAATGCTATAGAACATTAAAAACAAAGAGATCATTTTAGCACTGGGGCAAAGGTGATTTATATAGGAAAACATGTAAAGAATGTGGTCTTGTGTGACCAGCAGTCAAACTCTATTTCTGTAAATTTTTTTCTTTAGAAGTTCAATAGTGGTTTCTGTATTGCATATTATTGTCTTTAAGTTAGTTGTTCAGATTAGTGGATATAAACATGCAGAATTGGTCAAAAATTTTTAAAAAATTAAAAAGGAGAGAGAGAAAAAAAGCATTAACTGCTCTTTTCAATAGGCCAGTAGAGATCAGCAGTACAATTATCCAAGTTATCTTTAACTACTTCAGTGCAATTGCAGCTTAAAGGAGGATTTCCAACAAGTACAGACAAGCAGAGGAGACAGCGCATGATTTGTGAGACTGGGTCACAGAAGGCCACAGAGTCTCCCTCTGACCTCAGGTCACTTGCTTTGGACGACGACTGTGGCAGGGCTAGGGAGAGGCTCAAGCAGAGCAAGGCAGGAGCCCACAGGAAGGAGGGATGCCTCTGGCCAGGGCCACGGAGGCAGCTCAGAAGCAGATCCCCTGCCCCTGGCAGAG